GCAATCGGAATAAAGTTTAAACCATTCCTGGTTGACTATGAGGGAAAGCATACCTTTCCAATTTCTGTTAACACTGTTTAACTCAGTTGCAAGCACTGTACTGACAAAGTTAAAACTCCAGTGAGGGGTTCAACAAAAGAATAACTATACACTTTCACTGGATTCCAATGATGTGTTCAATGTCTCACACCCTCAACCATAAGCTAATCCTCAGGTAGAAGGCATTCATCAGTCAGAAATTCAAAACAACAAAATACTAACTGTAAACGTTTCCCATAAGAGCGTTGAAGCTGCATGCATGCACCTGTCCAACTTACAACAAAAGGGGTGACGAAGTTCCAGGATAAAGAGGTGTCCAAGATATAGGGTATTGTGGATATGTAAAATTATAGGATATTCGCCGGTTCCAATTAAAAGTGTCCAATATAGAGGGGTGTCCAGGATAGAGGGGTGTCCAACTAGAGGGGTTTTACTGTAATGTATTTGGTACTTGAGGAATCAGTGCGGTCCAAAAGTTCCCGGACTGGATTTTTTACCGCTTTTTTACCGACGTGATCTTCCGGACCGAGGTTGAAATACGTAGTAGAGACCCTTTCTGACAAGGGTGTGGAGTGGCTTTAGTGTAGTGGCAGGTGTTGTTAAGAAGGGTTGTCTCGTACGAGCTATTGTTGTTGCTTAGTGTCAAGGTCGTGAGATGGATGGCGATTAAATTTTGCTGTAAAGCCAATATTTCGGCTTCAAAGACTGTGGAGCTGATTCAGAAGGCTTAAGGTGATGCAGCGGTAAGCCGAACAAAAATTTTTGAGTAGCACAAACGGTTTCGAGAGGGTAGGGAGTCAGTGAAGGACGACGAACGCAGTGGCCGGCCCACAAGTCGAACCGATAACAACATCGCCGCCGTCGCCAAAATGGTTCAAGAAGATCGAAAAGTGACGTCTCGGTTAATAGCAGACACACCTGGCATCCCGAAACAGTGGTTCTACGGATTTTAAGCGAAGATTTGCGAAAACGAAAACTGTGCGCCAGACTTGTCCCCCATGCCTTGATGCAAGAGCAAAGCCCCGGCTCATTCGGCAGCAATGACGACAGTTTCTAGCGCAAAAACAAGTCGCAACGTTACAACATCCCCCATACTCACCAGATTTGGCTCCCGCGGACTATTTCCTGTTCCCGAAGGTGAAGTTGCAGCTAAAGGATGCAAGATTTGACACAATTAAGGCGATTCAGAAAGCAGTGACCAACAAGCTACAAGCTATTCCCGCAGAAGACTTTTCCAATGCCACGAAGAAGTTGGAAACACGTGCTAACCAGTGCATTGCATCAAATAGATCCTATTTTGAGTAAATAAACCGAAAAAAATATCCTCCTTCTTTTTTTAGTTCTTATTGCCTTAGTCCGGAAACTTTTGGACCGCTGAAATAATTTGATTTGTAAGATTGCTAATGTAATACTTGTACATTAATAAAAAGCAAAATTAAGCTAGTAGGAGAATAGCAAAGTACGATTATTTCAGCTCTATGCTATCAGACTTCCCTACATTCAATGACCACGACTGACACAGGATAACTTCAGAGGACATAGATTCTTATTCGAGAGTTGTTCTCTCTGAGTCCCTCTATACGCTCCTCCAGTTTGAATCACTCTGTATATGATAAGATTAATTATGAGTGTTCAATAAAAGAAAATGTGATATAAACTAAAATCAGAAGCATGATTTGATACTCTAACAGCGGTGAGTACTTTTAAATTTATATTGATTGTCCGTATCTGAAATACAATCGTTTGTTCGTTCCAAAATGTATGCTTTATACATAGCACAAATCTGACGAATATATAAATATTAAAAAACTTTCTCTGGCAGTAGACAGTTTCGCTTCGGTGTCACAATATTTCCTCCCATTGAACATGTTTCCCAGCACTAGCCGAGGAAGAAGTTATTCAGATACTCTTCACCAAAGCTGCTAAAGCTGAATATGTCTCCTCCTGCGACTTCCACCATTCGCATGGGTAGAGATCGTTCTGTCGACATCCTGGTTCCTTGTAGCACGTCAATTGTTGCCTTTCCGTTCATTTCAATAGACATCTTCATACTCTATCTAACTTGCTCGAATATCGCATGCATAGCAGGAATTGGTTCGCCCTCATACATACATCACATCGAGAAAGGACGATATTTGTCGCGCATTCATGACTCTAGTGCCATCTTTCCACACCAGACTTCCAACCGTTTAAAGATGAGGGTTTTGAATTTCTTCGACATGTTTCATCAGTGTCTTTGGGTAGCAAGTGACATTTAAATGACGTCATTGGTGAAAGGGTGAACCATGAAATCAGTTGACTGCTTGACCCATAACACAAGTTGAGCGTCACTTAAGGAATTCCACTAGAATTTACAGTGTTGTCGAATGTAGGTCTGTTGTCTCCAGCTTCTAGGCCGTAACAGCGGATGTAATTTTGCGATCGAAGAAAACAAGAAGAGGCTTTTTTTCAAATCCGACTGGATTCTGACATTACCGGTGTCAAAGGTTGAACTAACTGACCTTCATCCGTCATAATATCTATTTGAATGCTTCCATAATTATACACTGTGACATCATCCGCAGATGGTCATGGTCATCAACTCACCTAAAAATATATGTGATATATAAATGAACATCATCTAAAACCACAAACGAAGTATATAAAAGTGCAATGTTCTGCCAAAGTCATTCTACCTGCACCTATTACAACATTTAACGTCCACTCCGTTTCTGGAGTCTTATAGAGACTGATCATAAATTTCAGAACCAATTCCTGTTACATGTTCTATTTGTCAAAAAATAAACTTCACTGAAAACAGATTAAAAATCTGTTATATGTTTGAAATGTCCACAGCATTCAACGAAGCAAGAATTCACTCTTTTCCTTGTGTTAAATGTAATGCTGTGAAGAGTTTCCGCTTCACGGAAACGGTTCGGCAGACGAGATACTGTCTATTTATTTCGCATAGAAGAATCGGGAAATTGTTCCTGAGCGTATTTTTCAAGTGAAGTAAAAGCATTCTAGCATTTAAGTGTAGAAGAAAAAGTAAAGTTAAAACATGACGTAATATGCGTCGAATCTTGCATAGTTATATCGAGATTGTATGTTTATTAATCCAGTCGAATTGCGATAAATTTCAACCACTAATAAATATTTTTTAATATTGGTTGAGTGACCTTTCGATCACTCTGCATATTCCTTCCTGTTTGGTATCGATTTTCCTAGTTCAGGTCTTCATTTGTTCTGATGTTAAAAAAGTAATAAATATGATAACTTTCATACAATCAGGTGAACCCTCTGACGCTGTGGCACTATGTGACATTATGTACCTCATATTCCAAAATGTGCGCTCTTCAATCCAACAAAACGATACTTAAGCACAGCATTTGCACGGCAATTCAAGTCACCATGTTACCATTGAGGACGGAAGTGTATGATGCATTCCAAGTGCAAGAATGATAAAATCGCATGCAAGTCGTTATTCGATTTGGAGACCACGTAACTAACTCTCAGACCAGGGTTCCGAATTTCCTCCCAATCCAACACCTATTAAGCACAGCTTTTAAAATACACTTAAAATGCCGAAACGTGTAAATTGTCAGTTATCAAGTCTAAATGCGTGACCGAGATAAAACGAATGCTTCAATAGTTTTATGTGTGGGCAAGTACACGTGGAAACTAATATCCGCTTAAACGGATTTCAACCTGCACAAACGTGATCCGTTTGTCCACAAACACAAGGGTAAACCAAAAGATACGTATAAAACCAAAAATATTTCAACATAGTAATACTCACAGAGTAGGAACGCATTATCGAAATCATCAGCAGTGCGAATTACCTTGGGAAAACTATGAACAAATTAAATGAACATTTGATTAGTCTCCGTCGACTGCTTCTACCGATTTCATCTTCAGATTGTGACGTGGGTTGTTACGTACTTGTTATAAAGTTGGCAGGCCTAGGTGCTGTTTCCACCACACGTCATACATTCATAAGACGGAGGTAATGTGTGGATGGTAAGGCGTCTTGAACCTGCACCTAATGTTTTATATAGATGTAAACCTTTATCTCTCGCCCCATTGAAGAACACGGAATGAGTTTGTCTGTGAACAAGCTGCTGGGTAGAATGTTTTGATCAAATAGAGCGGAAGTGACAGAAGAATGGAGAAAATAGGTAATTAAAGGCTTCGTAATTTATTATCTTCACGATATTATTGGAATGATGAAATTAAAGTCGGTAAAATTGGAATGACGTATAGCACGCATGGGTTACATACAATGTACACAAAACTTAAATCTGAAAACCTGAGGGAAGACGACACTTAGAAGACTTGTGTTAATATAAGGATAACCTTAAAATATATCTTAACCTAAATAATGGTCGCATGTATGGATTCGATTAAGTTGACTCATTGTTAGCTCTAGAGTCACTCTAAAATAACATAGGCTTCCGTAGAAGGCGGAGAATTTCTTGACTAGCTCAGGAACTATCATCTAGCAGGAAACAAATGCAAACAAAACTCATGAGTCACTACATATTTTGTTGAGAAAATTTTCTTATTTGTTTCAGCTGACTACATCAAGAAATGTTCCCTGAAGGACCCAGAATTCAATGCGTGCGCCTTGAAGAGTGCCAGAGCTGCAATTCCACACCTCGTTAAAGGTGAGTACGCTATAATAATTCCGAGAAAGCCAGTTTGGTCTCCGTCTTTCTTGTATTTAAAATCTACTCCAATATCAGAATTATGAACAAGTTTCAGTTTCTAAAGACTATCTGGTCTAATTATAGGTGTGATACAGAAATGTAAAATTACTAAAGTCACAAGCATACAAGTTGATTTTTTGTATAGTGTTTACTGAAAACGAGGTCGTATTTAAAAAGCACTACGAGTACTTCAAACATAAGCCCCTTTAAAGGCGATTGGTAATCATTGTACTACCAGCTCAAACAATCACTAAGTCTGTTATTCAGTATTAATGGGGTTTTTGACTCGAAATAAGTAGCGATTATGTCCATTTACACATCAACTAAATGATCTCTGTGATGGTGAATTGTCTTATTTGCGGTAGAGACTGGATTCTTTAATATTATTCAGACGATCTTCGATACAGTGAAATACATGTAAGGGAGACCAGGGCAGAACGAGGCAACCTGGCAAAACAGGGTATCGGCTTTATTTCGTCTGCACTGCTTTGCGATTATCGGGACTGGGTGAAATATCATTAGCCACCAGCACAGCGTCATGTCATGTCAGTCAGCGCCATTTTGTGGTAACGGTTTCTGAAATATTTACCCATGCTGGATTTTGCTTCTACATTTTACAAATTTTTTTCAACGCCCAGTGAAGGTAAGACCTATTATTCATTACTCATATTCACTTTGCTGAGTGATGCATGTCACAAGGTGTTTTCTTTAAAATCTTAAACATAATATATTTATTTATTTTCATGATGTCGTTTTTGGTGGGACAATCCTAATTTAAAAGCTTATACTCGGGGCAGGATGGGGTAGGGCAGATTGGGGTACCCAGAGAAGAGGATCAAATGATAAGTGCGTGTAATGTGGCGAAGTCTATTCGAAGTCCATTGAAGGGTGGATCCGGTATTCGTCTTGCTTGAAATGGGCCCATAACTCATGTGCAGGTGTTGATAGTGACGATGATGAAGAGGTGCACACGTGTGCCGTCTGCCCTTGGCCTAAGTAGATTTCAAATGTGTAAAGTTTCCACATTTTACATTGTACACGAAATCACTTCTATGTCCTAAGTCATAAGTAGTAGATAATCTGTGTCTTCTTACAACTTTTCAAACATTTATCAACCATAATCCGTCTTACCCCGGGCACGGGAAAAAAGGGGCAATGTACATTCTTGTAAATAAATTAATATTTAAAGAACTGTAACCCTTAGAACTAAACTAATAACTCATTACAAATTTCTAATTTACAATGAATCCAGAAAGGGTTCCTTCCTTTATTATTGTCCCTACCACATGTCTCCAAAAATTAAGTTCCCCGTTCTGCCCTGGGCTCCTCTAACTCTGGCATTTTCTCTTAACTATTTTTTCAAAAATCACGAAAGGTATATCAGTGCCGCGACCGTAGATTAATTCTTTAAAGTGCAATTGGAAGTATGAATCACACCTGTTTTAACAACCAATGAAAGTAAAATAAAATAGTCCCTCTACACGCCACATAGGTAGCTCCTTCTCATTCTTGACCTCGGCATTAGATGAGGGTGTATTCAGGAACACGCCCCTGCCGCGCTTCATCCCTGTGAAGGAACCCCGGTACTAAATTGACAGGAGGCTGTATGGGCCCCATGGCCGGTCTGGATTTAGAGGTTAGAGGAAAAATCCTTTTCCCTCATAGGGCGTAGAACCCCTGGCGTCCAGCCAGAAGCCAATCACTTTAGTGACTGAGTTACCCGGGGGATCTTAACAACCTATAATTATGGATTTTGTATATGTGTTCTTTATAATTCAGTGTAAAGAGGGGTTATTTCCTCAAACAAAGTTGTGCCAGTCATGGTTTGTGATTGGATTCCCGAACGGGCTGATCATTGAAATGAGGGGTAAAAAAGACTTTGGCATATTAATCTGGTTTATATAAACGAAGGAGGTGTAATTAGATAATATTTGGTACGCCTTGCTTCATCCAAATTTGAGTGATTTTATTAATTTTGGCATTGTTTAAATGTTTGAAATTGGAAGAGAGTGGCGACATACAGCCGCTTGAACGTCTCTCCTCCCGACATTCCGTCTAGCGAGAACGTGACTTTAACAAAGCTTTCGTACTCGTAAAAGTTGTTTACGAGGCGAAAACTTAAGACCTTCCAGATGTGGAATGACGGTTGCCCTAAATCCGTCGCCTCACTGCGACTGGAACCAATGAATTTCGAATGTGGCTTTTTGGCGCGTTTCCGACGTCATGGGGTGAATTTTGGGAGACGAATCGGGTCGCCGTATTAAATTCACGTTTTAAGAACAGTTACGAGTTGCAGGGATTTATATAGCGGGATTGTGTAGTTGCGGGCTCTCTTGCGAACTTAGATTGCCCGACGCAGGGGGGAGGCACGACGATCCTTGCCCACAGGAGCAGGCAGGGTCTGCAGCAACTGAAAGCAACCGCCATTCACCTGGTGCTGGCAACCAGGAAAGTGAAGCTCGTGGCCTGCATACTTCTCGCCCACGCGGCCCTGGATTGACTCGGACTTGACCGACTGCCCGGGCGGAAGTATCCCGGTCCTATTGGCCGGTGACCTCAACGAGAAGCACACGGACTGGAATTCTAGGCTGATCTGCACGAGGGGTTCGCTCCTGACGGATTATGCCACAGAAAATCTACGGGCCTGGCTCACCAACTACGGCACCCTACGCACACAACGGAACTCCCGATATCCTTGACATTGCACTCGCCAAGGACTTCGTCCTACCTGTGTATCTGACTGTCTGCCCCGCGCTCAGCTCAGATCACCTGCCCATCATCATCGACTACACGTGTCGATCATCCTATCAAAACCTTCCTGGCAGCCCAGAATTCGCAAGAATATACTGTGGTGCATTCCAGGATTGCCTCGAAAGCAGACTCCTGGGGATTCCCGTGATAAACGTCGAGGAGGCAATCGACAAGTGCGTCGAGGATCTGAACAGCGTCATCCTTGAGGCCACAGCGGCGTCAACTCCCAAGCTTTGACACCGCGTGGAGAGGTGGTCGCCCCTGCCCGCTAGTATTCAGGATGAAATATTCCTTAAAAACTGGCTGAGTAGGCGGTGGCAGGGGATCCCGCTCTCAAAACCCAGCTCAACCGACTCCAGAGCTCGTTGACCTATCGGTTCAACGAGTGGAGGAACAAACAGTGGAGCGACACGCTGGAATCCTTGGGCTGCGAGAACCAGTCGCTATGGAAGATGACTAAGCGGGTGATGCGAGTCACCACTCCGCCGCCCCTCTTGTTAGTGCCGGGATGACTGGCTCTCTCGGACTCCTACAAGGCGGAAGCCCTAGCCGACAACCATGAGGTCCAGTTTCAGGCGGTGGACGATCCGTCGGACTCGGCTGTTATTGACATATTTAACGGGGCGATGCGAGCACACAAGTATGCCCCCGCAAGTGAATCGAAATTAATCAGTCACTCGGGGTCTTTAAGGTCATCAAGGGACTCAATGTTGGCAAGGCTCCGGGCCTCAAAAGTATACCGAACAGGGTCCTGAGACATCTCCCACGACGCGCGGTAACCTTTCTTACGGAAGTGTTCAACGCGGTCCTCCGCAGACAGCACTTCCCCTCGAAATGGAAACACGCTCGCGTGGTTTCCATACTGAAATCGGGGAAGGACCCCACGCTACCTTCTGCTTACAGACCCATCTGTATTCTTGACACGGTCGGCAAGCTCTGTGAGAAGATACTATTAAGGTGAACGAACGCGGGCCTCTACGAGATGAGGAGTTTCGGTTCCGACTTGGACACAGTACGACGATGCAGCTGACTCGCCTCGTTGAAAGGGTCAACAGGAACTTTGACGTTAGGCGGCTAACCGGCGCGGTATTCCTGGACGTGGCCAAAGCCTTTGACACAGTCTGGGTCGAAGACCTACTCTACAAGCTGACTGTCCTCAAGTTCCCGTCGTACCTGGTGAAAGTCATCTCATCCTACTTCGCTTGCCGGACATTCCAAATGTCCTTCCAGTCAGCCACGTGCACACGTCGTACTATGCCGGCCGGCGTTGTGAAGGGCGGAATCGTCTCCCCTGTGCTCTTCAGTCTGTATGTCAATGACATACACACACCGTTCTGCCACGTCAAGTTATCTCAATACGCGGATAACACGGCTGTCGTAGCCATATCTCGTGGTCCAAGGCTTCTCCTCAGGTATCTGGAGACTTACCTCGGTAGAATAAAGCTCTGGCTCAGGGCCTGGAGGACAGTTATCAACGACTCGATGAGCACCGCGGTTCTCTTTGTTAAGACTGGGAGACGCATCCAACAGTCCAGGGCAATGCAGTTTCTCGGACAGCCGATTCAATGGGTCAAAACAGCGAAGTATCAAAGTCGCCGTGCTTGCCTGGTCGGCGCACGTCAAGGAGTTGGGAAAGAAGGCGGCTCAACGATTGGGTGTGCTAGGCCCGGTCCTTAGTAGGAGAAGTGGCCTATCCATCAGGAACGGTGTGCTGCTCCTTAAGCAGCAAATCCGTCCTATGATGGATTAGGCATGCCCGATCTGGAGGTCAGCTGCCAGCAGCCACGTTAGGAAGCTGCAGGTGCTGCAATCCAAGTGTCTTCGCATTGCTACTAACGCGCCTTGGTACGTTAGTAACGGGCAAATACATGAGGATTTGGTGATCCCGCTCTTTGTCGACTACATCAGGGCACTGGCTGAGAGATTTGACTCGAAGTTAGCTGGTGTGGGGAACCCCTTAGTCCGGCAAATCAGGGGGCACTTGAGCCGAACGACGGCTGACAGAGGAGCAGGCCAGCCGAGGCTGTCCCCAAAACGGCCCTGTCGGCGCAAGGAGTGGACTTGTCTACTCGGCTACCGTGACTGTGGTTTTCCGTGCTTTTCCTCAGTTGTAGGGCGAATGCTAGGGTATAATTTAATAGGGGCAGGGCCCGCCACCCCCGATTACGGAGGCCTTCAACTAAAGTGATCTCACTCCAAGCCGCAGAGGCCTTCAGCCGAAACGGCCCCTCGCTCTCTGTGTTCAAAACCCAGAGAACGAACGAACCAAAATCTTTGGACAAGTTCCCTGACGGGATAACCTCCCACCAGCAGCAAGAGACCCTATTTTGAATGGTCAATTCTCCCGCCACGACAGAATCCCTTTACCGTTAGCAAAATTCCGTTTCATTGTTAAGGCTCTGTTTACCTTTTCCAGTAATGCGATTCGTACGCAGGATTTATGTCACCTAGGAAGGGACGATGTCTTGCGCTTGCGCAGGACTCCGCCCTGAGTTAGCTCTTTGGTTGGTTGCGGGCTCTCAAAAGGTTTGGTTCTTCAAGTCGAGCAGACAGGTTCTGCTTGTAACTTTATATTTCAAGTAGAAAGACAACAGCCGAATCATCGCGCTGCCTTCCGATCAGAGTAATTGGTTGTACAACAGCGTGTCTCTAGGCGTAATAAAAGGTGACATCTCCAAGGTAACTTCGGTGTGGTCTTCAGTTGCTCAACTCCAGAGATTCCACTTCCTTCGCGCAAATGCCGCTCCAACCATCACAGTCCCCGTATATTCCCTAAGATTCGGATACTCTTGCCCTCCGACAAAACCTGCACCCATTTTCCGTTCATATCCTTCCGCATACCCAAATTTATATCTCAAGCTGTAACCGCACTCAAACCGGGCACGCTACTGGGTTTGATCCTGTGGCGACCTAAGTAAAAAGGCGAGTCGTGTGCGGAAAGGCGGTTACAAAGTTTAACAATTTATCTTTGTAAATATAAGAAGTTGTGTTTTATTTGCAGTAATGACCGAATTTTTAATAATTACTTAAGCAATGTTCGGCTCAAACATTACTTTATAATGAAATCTGTTACGTTCTTTGAACTTTATTTTCAAAGCAGAGGAAAACGTGTCTGGAAAATAAATTACTTCGTTGGTTTCTTTACTGATAAAAACCGTCATCTTGAAGAAGTTTTGAGAAATAAAGATTCTGTGAATATCACTGTCTTCTGGGTTGTTGCACCGTGTAGTCTCGTAAAAGCTTACCGACGTTTCAGAGATCGTTGTTGCCTCCATCATCAGGTTATAAGTCGGTAAACGTCTACCAGATTACACGTTGCAACAACCCAGAAAACAGCTATCTTAAATCTGACCACCGTGAAAATCTCAAATCCTAGGAAAATTCTGTGCTTCAAGAAAGTTGTTCATTTCAGGAGCAAAGAAGCACAACATCCCACTCTTGGATCCACTGATTGTGAAGGAGGTTCGGGCAGTCGAAAGTTATCTGACCATGGCGGCAATAGATGTGAAAATGCAAGGGTTAAAGGACGCAGTTCTGCAAAACATAAGGTAACATTTCTATTACAACGGTAGTACTGGCCACGTGTGACTTACTGTCGGCAATATAACCGTATTTTCTCTGAAACTGAGCAATGATGTGGACACTCAAAACGGTCTTGGCGGTAGCAGCTAGACAGTTCGACATCCCTCCCGCCACGACCAAAACCTATAAAGTAATTACACTGCATTCAGTTGTTCTCCAATTATCCTCTTTGAATATTTGTTAGTGCTTGGCTGTTATTGGCCTTTTTGGCTGTTGTCAAGCACTTTAATAAATGAATTGAATTGAATTGAATAATAGAATGATATATGATCCGATTGCCCAGCAACGCAGAATAATAATGTCGAAACCACATGGCCAGAATGTTACACTACATTCCATTCCTCAAAATCAAATTCATTATTGCACGGTTCTTAAGTAAAAACACTTGTATATAGTTTATGTTTTTTCTCTGATGCAATAGGAGCTGAAACAACGAGATTTACATTTTAATATATGTAATCCAACACTTATATATCCCTAAACGTATTTACTAATTGAGAGAAGCGACCTTTTCATGTAGATTAACATTAAGATAGCGGTTTTCTGAGTTTTTAAACTACGCAGATTTGTCAAAGTTTGTCGACTTTTCGGTGGAACTTCCTACTCGATTTTAGTGTAGGAGACTTGAAAACCAGTCACGGCCCGTGGCATTTCAAGAGGAGTAATGAGTCAAATATACACACTTTTCACCGACTTATAACCTCAAAACGGCGGAAATTAAACGTCATAAAATTCTAAGACTTTACTCGGAATTATAGATAAATGAATTCTTCAAACTATTAAACGGCAATGATTCAACTATAGCTGTTATACCTTTGGTAATTTCGAATAAGATTAAACGATACCCATAAATAAATTTACAGATATGGCCTATTTCAAGTCACTTAACTGGAGAAACTGACGAAAGGCTCTGAAAAGAATCACAGGATAGTCGTCAGTAGTATTAAATTCATGCAATCTGTTGCGAATATTTTCAATAGCACAAACAATGACAGTCTCACACAACAATATTAAAAAAGTATTTATAACTTTTATGTTACAAGATAAATCTGTTCATGTTGTCATGTAGGACTGTAATAGGATTTTTTACTTGAACTTTCTTGCATAGTAGGCAGGTGTGTCGTCCGTGAACGAACGACTTGATCCGCATGAAGTTTAACAATAGACTCGTTGTTTCTTTGCTAACCCGACATGAACACCCACTCTGCGTTTCGGTCTGTCGAATTGGTTGGTCTCGTGTCATTCCGATTGTATCTGATCCAGAAAAAACAGGCTCGTTTCTCCAATAATTTTCAGTTACAAACTAATCGCCATACCATCTGTTTGTCTTTACTTGCTTCAATAATTGTAACAAAACCATTTCTCTTAATTTTCAAAGGAGACATATTTATGATTTGGGCCAATCCTTGATTGAAATTATTTTATAAATAATTAGATATTTCAACAAAAGTTTGAGCAATTATTTTGAAGGGAAGAATTTCCGTATTTTGGCCAAAATCTACTGATCTTTGGAACCTGATTCCAAGGGTGATCTGATCCGAAAGAAATCGAATCGTGGAAATGGTAAGTCCTGCCAACCTACATTGAGGCTAGTACATTTTAACACATATCTAAGCAATTTACCATTCTATATAACCTCTACCTGGAGACTGCAGGACTTCAGAGGAAATCAATTCTCGTCCGTTCTCAATGAAATAAATTACATTAAAAGCCATATTAATGACAGCACCTACTGCGGTGTACGAAATTTTCAGTCATAGGAAGTCGGTGACTATAGGCTAGACAAGTATGACTTCAATCTTTGCTGGAGTTGGGGCCGGCTTCGAGACCCACTCAGCATCCCATCTAATGGGTATCAAAACTCTTTCTACGAGTACGACATCTGGAGTATGAAGCTGATATCCCATTTAAATTTATTGTCGATATTAAGAACACATGGAGCTTTAACGTTGTTGCCAATACGTCATCAAGATGTAATGCTTAAATTCAAGACCAATTTTTCTTTTTGCATTATATCTTACACGTTCAGGAATTAAACCCTGTGACTTATTGTTAACGTTGATCTGAAATTTAACTGATGTTTCTGTCTACAGTTTCGACTTCGACAAACAAAATATCACGGCAGAAGTCCTAGTCCCAGAGGCACATTTCACTGGCAATTATGAACTGGATGGCAGGCTAGTGGCTCTCCCGATAACTGGCAAGGGACCCCTCGACGCCACGCTTTGTAAGTCACTACGACACTGTTTATATGTGAGCTGGAACACGGAAAACAATTGCACCAAAAAAGAGGAACAAACAGACAAAATTTAAATATTAATTTAATATCAAGAGCTTTTGCCGCGTTGTCTGAGGCGTGGGCCTTGTGCTGCTTGGTCACTAGGACAGGTTCGAATCCCACTCAAGGCATGAATGTTTGTCCGCAACTCTCTGTGTAGTGCTGTCCTGCGTACAGGTAGAGGCCTTGGGACGGGCCGATCCCTCGTCCAAGGAGTCCTACCGAATGTCTATAGATCAAACCAACGAAAATTTGGTACCCGCAGTGCTCAGGCACTAAAGAATGGATCTTATACCTATTCTAAGTAAGTATCAAGAGCTTTACTTAATTAAAACACAAATATAATTTTGTTTCTAGTTTTGTGTAAATGTGATACTTGACCTCTGTTTCCTCGGGAACCAAAAGAGATAGAGGATGTTCAAGAAAATAACCTGATGACAATATTTCGATAAAAGAAAGGCAGGTCCATTGCTCAGGCGATTAATCGCCTGTTTCTAATATCGGAGACTAGGGTTTTCTCCCATAGCAGTCCATACGGGATTTGTGGTGGAAGAAGTGGTAATGAGAGAGATCCTTATCCAAGTCCTTCCGTTTTTGCCTGTCAAATTCATTCCACCGTGTCTTCATATTCACTCATGTATCATCTGGTGAATACACACTTGATTCGTTAGATCCACAAAGATATTTTACCTAATTTGCTGTCTTCTAGATTATAACGCAGCGTAAACTTCTGCCAGAGTACACGGTGCTACAACCCTGAAATCCGCAAGGGGTGGAAATGTGACAACATAATTTATGGCGGTCATAGACTTTGCTTTGAGCACATTAAAATTTGTCTTACGGAAATGAATTCTAAAGGTGAAACTGCATTGAACGTGCTCATAGCAAAATAATTTTGTGATGATAATGGACAATGTTAGGTTTCGTAACAAATTATTTGTTTTTAAACACAAAGCTCTCGATCACAGTTGTATCGAGGCCTCATGAATAAAGGCTGATAAAGTTATAAATATAAACGTTTGGCGATACGATGTTTGCTGAAGTCACTTCTATAGTAAATAACCCAATCTGTTGTCTTCCAGATGACCTCTACGTCAAGTATACAACTGGTTATAGCTTTACGAAGATGGATGGCGGCGAAGTGTATCTTGTTCCTACTGACTATTATATATAGCCAACCCAAAAATTTGAAAGCTAAATTGGGAAATCTGTTTAACGGAAACAAATTACTAGGTAAGCTCACAACCACCGCAGTTCCAAACCTGGCAACACAGACGCGCAAACTGAAAACATGTCTGTTTCAGGAGACAGCATGAACGCGTTTATCAACGAAAACTGGCAAGCCGTGCTGAAAGAAGTTGGGCAGCCTACCTACGACGCCCTAGGTCTCATCGTGCACACCATACTCAGTGCAGCCGCAAAAACGGTGCCCTACAAGGATATATTCGACGACACAGAATGAAGACATCCACGTCTGGTTAAAAAGAAGTGATATAGTGTACGGCAGCAAGACGGAACGGGAGAAGTACCCTTCGACGTAAATTAAGATAACACAAAGATATTTAACTCGATTTACAGCAGCTGCACTTTAGCCATTATGTACTATCGATAGGGACTTTATAGTTAGGACGTAGGGTTACTCTACTGGGCTTGCCACTAACATAAACGAAGGGGAAGGGGAAAAAAAGGATTAATAACAACTTTGTAAAAAATCGAAATTTGAAAAAATTATCATCATTCGCATGTGGATTCAACCCCAAAGGTACCGCCACACTACCGTTCTTTCATGCAACACGAAGAGCATTTTTCGTTTTACAAATTTTTACTGCGCGACTATGCTTGCATTACTGAATCTTCAAGAAACACGTGTTACATCTCTACAAAGAAATTCAGTAATTGCTGACCCATGATTGACGTTAAAAGATCAAGTGTCGTAAGGAATATTTTTGTTTCGGGTCTTACGTTTTCCACAACTAAATATCACCACAGTTATGTAACGTTAAATTTTATCACAGAACACTTTCATGGCTTCCATTACCGAATAATTAACATCAAATATGAACAGAACAGTCTTGACTATTAGCCTGAAGCTTGCCAGATGTTATCTAGGGCTCTTGTCAAGCTTAGAACATTCAGTTGAAGTCACTTAAAATCAATCTTCTCAGCTATCTCACTTTTCCCGTTTGTCTTCTGTGAAGTACCACTGAATATATGTCACAACTTAGTACAGTTAAGCGGCAACAGTTTTCAGCAAACCACTAAGCATTCTGAACGGACATGATTTGGAATTTGGCGTATTATAACCGGCGCAATTATTTCTGTCCAATTAATTTGTATCCAAATTGATGAACTAGTTACTCTAAGGCTTCATATGATGTTTTCTGTTTACTAACATGAATAATTATACCACACTATAATTACGGAGTTTGCAAGATCACGTCACTTTTCCCTATCCTGAGCCAGATTATTCCAGGCAGCCGACATCTTCATATCGTATTCCTTTGAAGTCTATTTCTAAATTAAACTCATCTACGCCCACGCTCCAAGTGATCTCTTCAGAATGTGTGATAACATACTTTCCTGAACACTGTTCTAAGGAGAACACGCTTCACAAATACACATATATGCATACATCGTTCGTATATATACGTACATACATACGTACTTGCATACGCACGTACTTGAGCACGTGAACACATACATCCATACACACACACACACAGACAGAGAGAGACACATACACACACAAATACACACGTAGGGGAGCCCAGGGCAGAACGGGGCCACGGGGCAGAACAAGGTATCGGCCTTGTTTCGTCTGAAATGCTTTGCGATTTATCGGAACCGGGTGAAATACCATTAGCATACAGCACAGGGTCATGTCATGTCAGTCAGCTATATTTTGTGGTTACAGTATCGTAAATTATCACCTAAGCTGGATTTTTCTCCTACATTTTAGAATTTTTTCTCAAATTCCAGTGAATATAAAACCTATTCATTATATATATCCAATTTGTTGAATGATGCATGTTACAGGATGTTTTCTTGAAAATCTTAAACACAATATTTTTATTCATTTTCATGATGTCATTTTTGGTGGGACAATCCTAACCTGAAAGAGTATGCTCCGGGCAGGTTGGGGTAGGGTAGAATGGTGTACCCCGTTTTGTCCCGAGTGTATGTAGAGAAGAGATTCAAGATGACGATTGCATGTATTGTAGCGATGTCTATTCGCAGTCTATTGAAGGGTGGATCGGTATTCGTCTTGTTTGAAATGGGCCCATAACTCATGTGAAGTTGTTGGTAGTCACGATGATGAAGAGGTGCACATGTGTGCCGTCTGCGTTAGGCTTGAGTAGATATCAAATGTGTAAAATTTCGACATTTGACATTGTATGCCAAATAATTTTTATATCCTACATCATAATTATCTGTGTCTTCTAACAACTTTTCAAACATACATCAACCATACTCCGTCTTGCCCCCGGCACGAGGCAAAATGAAGCAAGTTACATTCTTGTAAAGAAATTAATTTTTAAAAAACTATTACTCTTAGAATTAAACTCTTCACTCACTTTAAATTTCAAATAGACAATAAATCCACACAATGTTTCTCTATGTGTTTATCTTCATTATTGTACCTTCCACACGTATCCAAAAGTTAAGCCCCCTTTTCTGCCCTTGACATTTATCGCTAGCAACAATGACCCTGCAATGTTATTAGTTTTTCTGTTTTTAGAAATTAAATTTGGGATTTCAAATGGTGTTAGAAGTACTTGTGTGGAAGTTATAACTGCTATTTCGTGAAACTCATGTGTTTCCGCATTTCTACCGGTTTTTGTTCACAGGACACGTAAATCTTGTTAAAAGCCTGAGCAGACTTCTTCTAGTTGCGAGAATTGCACAACGTACAACACATTTTGGATGGTTTTCTCTGTTCAGGAGTTCATAAGTAAAATCGGAATGGAAAGACATGAAGATTATCACAGGTGTTACATAAAGTTCGGAGGAGATTGAAATGGCCTAATTTATTGTAATGTTCCTTCATTTGATGGATTCTCTTTATTCTTTGTCTCTCTTCGCACGCTCTGCTTGCCTTACATACTTCATCATGCGATTTCTGCCTCCGTGCATACTCCTTTAAGTGCACATGTGTGCCGTCTGCGTTAGGCTTGAGTAGATATCAAATGTGTAAAATTTCGACATTTGACATTGTATGCCAAATAATTTTTATATCCTACGTCATAATTAACTGTGTCTTCTAATAACCTTTCAAACATACATCAACCATACTCCGTCTTGCCCCGGGCACGAGGCAAAACGAAGCAAGTTACATTCTTGTAAAGAAATTAATTTTTAAAAAACTATAACTCTTAGAACTTAACTCTTCACTCATTTTAAATTTCAAATAGACAATAAATCCACACAATGTTTCTCTATGTGTTTATCTTCATTATTGTACCTTCCACATATATCCAAAAGTTAAGTCCCCTTTTCTGCCCCTGGCTCCCCTACACATTTTGACATCTATCGGTAGCAACATTGACCCTGCAATGTTATTAGTTTTCTGTTTTTAGAAATTAAATTTGAGATTTCAAATGGCGTTAGAAGTGTTAGTGTAAAAGTTATAACTGCTGGTTTCGTGAGACTCAAGTATTCTCGCATCTCTACTAGTTTTTGTTCGCTGGAGACGTAAATCTTGTTAAAAGCCTGAGCAGACTTCTTCTAGTTGCGAGAATTGCACAACGTACAACACATTTTGGATGGTTTTCTCTGTTCAGGAGTTCATAAGTAAAATCGGAATGGAAAGACATGAAGATTATCACAGGTGTTACATAAAGTTCGGAGGAGATTGAAATGGCCTAATTTATTGTAATGTTCCTTCATTTGATGGATTCTCTTTATTCTTTGTCTCTCTTCGCACGCTCTGCTTGCCTTACATACTTCATCATGCGATTTCTGCCTCCGTGCATACTCCTCTAGTTTCTAGTGTCACGTTTCTGCTACACTAACTTACAAAAATGAAATGTCTGCCAGTATTTAGGCATTAGTATGGAGGCCTTTTCTTTATCCCCAAGACCACTGTTGTATAACGTACAGCAACAAAATATAAATTCCGACCATTCATTTTCGTTCAAGCAGCAAATGCAGTCTCACTGCTACTGTGCCTAAAAGGTGCTAATGCAGCCATTTCTTCTCTTGTGCCCAAAATGTCTATCTTTCATCACTGGGTTACCAAATATTTTAAGTACTGAGTGTTTAATGATTCACCGAAACGCAAGTGTCGTTATCCGACTACTGGGAAGAGCTCAACGACTCATCGCCAAGAGCTAACTGCAACTCCTGCTAAAATCATTCTCACAAGAGTGCAGTTATGTCTCATGTAACTTAAAGTAGTAGTCACTGCGTATGTATGTGTAAGGTCCCATGTACTCTTTAACATCTTTTTTTCTGTATGACCTGTATATGTAATGTGGTCCTGCTGTTAAGGGTTGGAGAAAATGTTATCGTAAATTTCCCAGCGTCAGAGTTCCAAACACAACATCTATTCATGAACTCATTAATAGAATCAGATCTACCGGAACAATTCTGATCAAGAAATATGTTACCAAACTTTAATACTTGAGCCATTAACTGAAAGCGCTTCCTCGTTGTCCCAGCAAGCGGTTGTTCTGCATACTTCTAAGAAAGACAACAGCGCATTTGTTGCTAATTACAGATCTATTTCGATTTCAAATAAAGTTTCGTAAATTTTTAAAATATTTTTCATAATCACAATTTCTTCCAATTTAAATCCAAGTTACACTGAAGACACCATTACTTAAACTACACTGCCCTTTGGACGAGGCCTAAGATGATGCTTGAAATGTTGGTGGTTTCTTCATTAAGCCACTTTACACGGCTTGTAATCCGAGAAGATTAGTGCGCCATTACTTTGTTCAATTGAAATATACGGTAACTGATTTACTCAAATGATGGTATTATACTATCTGCTTGTTCACAAGGACAGTCTATTTTCAACTTAGCTGAGGCATTGATACGTCTATAGTACTCTTCTACTAAGATACGCCTAATAATTTTGGAGTATATTAAATGGTTCCAAAGCTACTTAAGAATTGTATTCTATCCTCCTTCCTTCTTATTCTAGATAACAGTATTTTCCTTTTCACTTATTCATGTCGTATCACAGTGCTGTATTTTGGGACGTATCTAGTTTAGACCAGTATTAACTACCTTCAAGTTAGAATAAATTATTCAAATTTCTATTGCTTGCTGATTCATAGGATTTTAAATCTCTTCAAGCTAATATCCATTCGTTTCAGCAGTGTAGTAACACTGGCCAGCTACAGGCCACAGACGAAATTTGGGGATCTTGAACTCAGCACTTGATCGAATTCAGTTGTCCGCATCACGTCCCAGTGGATAGGAATTTGGGTGGGTTCGAGATCCGATCTGGAGGCAGAATAAAGTTATTTTCACCAGCCGGGAATCCTTCCTCGGCCATCCGGTCCGTAGTCATACACTATTCTGACCGCTGTCTTCCAACTCGTTCATCAGAAGAGTGGCACAATAAAAAGAGTGTACATTTCAACTTTTAGATTACTAAAATTACAGGCTTCACACTTAAAACAAAATGAGTTCATTTTAATTACTACATCAATGATGTTTAATTTTGTGTACTAACTATAAAATTGAAAATTCTGGTGTTATTTATTAAAATTCCATCTTCTTCGCATTAATCATTATGTAGGCCTATATTCTCGGGCACTACAGACATTAGGTGTTATTCGTCTTACTACACACACTTTTAATTGTCTTCTGTTGATCTAATTGTAGAAGAATGCCTCATTTAGGTACTAACTTACATAAAATGACTCTAATAAAACAGAAAACATAAAAATAAAATATGCCATTGCGTGTCATTGTCGTTTTATGCAGTTAAAATACTACGTAATATAGTTTTGAAATGTTGAACTTCATACCAGACGACTATTTCTCGAGGCATCGTTTTTACTAATGTTTTCAAGGGCAAAATAAATTACCACATTTATTGGCAGCGCTGGTGTTCGCACACTCACAAGGCATATAAATCATTTACACCTTCAAGGTAAAATTTTGAATAATAATAATCAGGTATGGACCTACAGTCCTTCAGCTAGGTGCGGCATTGCTTCAAATTACATTTAAAAATTTGTTCTTATTTTTAGAAAAATAATGTTTTCTTTGTGGACATTTCCTCCATTCGGGGAAGTTGTTATATTGGTTATTTTTCTGTTTTTATTGTAATTGTGTTCGGTCTATTCACAGATTATCCCACAAAAATGTATACACAACGGCAACTTTGGTGGCCAATTGTCACTCGTTTACTCTGCTTTGTCAACTGTGCCACGACACTAAGTGTGGTATTTTGAATACCTACACTAGATTCGCTAATTCATAAAGTGTCAATGTTGAAATATGTAATGGTACAATTTATTACAATGTTTCATTCCATTCATTGGATATGTGTTTACAATTTTGTGCTAGTCTGTATACAGAATGTATATAAAACAAGTTTATAATTTTGAAATTATACAGAATAAAGTGCGGTGTACTTATAACTTTATACCTACACAAGGCGGCATAAGAATTCTCAAATTTTGTTCACACATCACAGAGATTCGATGTGCTCCGGAAATTAAGCGGCAGATATCGAGACGAGAAACTAACTCGTTCCAAACTTTGTTCATAGTGTCACTGGTGATGACAGATGACAGATGTGATTTGAATTTCTTGTATAGTAGATGTGAATGTATAATTGAAAGTGTGGTTCCATGTGGAATTGTGTACAAAATGCTTGTTGCATAGTTGTAACGAACTCCTTCCATAACTGTAGAACACACTAACTCCTCTGTTGTGGGGAAACCATTTTCAAAACTAGTGGCGATTACCTGAGGCAGGCACAATAGTTACCCGAGAAAAATTTGGGAGTTCTCCTATCAACCAGTTTGGGTATGATGTTCTAAGTACACCGCATTTGTTTTCTAAATGTT